TCAACTAAATATTTTTGTCAAGTTTTTTGATAAAAAATTTCCATCAAAAGTTTCAACGAAACACATTTCTATAAAAAAATTCCGTAAATTTTTTTGACAAAAAAAACATTTTGACGAAAACATATTCTGTCAAAATTCTTTAAAGAATCTAAATTTCGTCGAAAGTTTCAAATGAAACATTTCCCTCGAAATAATTTCCATCAAAATTTTCGTCAGAACATATTCCTATCGAAATTTTGAACGAAAAATATTCCGTCAAATTTTTTGACAAAAATCTTTTTTCGTTTAAAACATTTGATGGAAGAAATCATTTTCGTCAAAACTGTTGACGGAAACTAAATTTCAGTAGAAAATTTTTTTTTGTAAAAATTTCGACGAAAAAATAATTTTGTGATGAAATTTTTGTCTTTTGCAACGTAAAAATTTCGACAAAATTTTGTGAGAAAACCAAGTCAAAAACGGGTCAGGTCAGATTTGACCCAGTTCAGAAACCAAGTCAGACCCACTTCAGAAACCAAGTCAGGTCAGATCCAAACTGGTTCTGAACTAGTTCAACAAAATCCATTCCAAGTCAGACCTGACTTGGATCAAATTAAAGCGGGTCGGGTCAAAATACCTGACCTATAAAAATCAAGTTGGGTCGAGTCGGACAAAAACCTGACCCGACCTGACCCATGCACAGCCCTACCTGTGGGTCTTGTTCTTAATTGAAACTTGACATCACATGACCAGGTTATTGTAAGTGACTTTACTATTGGTCCTGTTCATTGAAACTAGACAATGGTTATTCTCTTACAAATAAACTTAAGTTGATGGCTCTTTGCAAAACAAACTGTTTAGGCCTTGTTCATAATTTATGAAATTGGCTTGATGCTTATGAGCATGATATTACAATGCTTTCTGACATTAATATATGTTCTTCTTTGCTTGATGATATGATGCTAAGTTCTTTTAGTAGAACTAGACACTTTGGTAGATTATTCAACCGATTGAATTCATAATAAGATGAAATTTATATTTGATATTCTACAGAGGTTGACAGAGATGAAAGAGAGTTTAATGATAGGGATCTTGACTAAAATCACCTCCTTGATGAATGAATATATCATTTAGAGTATGTGGGGATTTGATAGTTCACCCGCTATTGTCCATTTTGATGTAGTCCATTTATTTGAGACTTACATTTTTCTATCTTTAATTTATGAACATTGTTGATTGTGAACTGATTTTTAGACTTATTTTGGATGTTTGGATTTGGATGAGTTTAGATTGAATCTAAAACTCTAAATATTTACTTTGGTATGTTTGTCTCAGAACAGATTCATGATAATGATGATTTATTTATTTAGATTTAAAATGACTATTGAGTTTAATGTTTTACAGTTAAAACTCTTTGATTGATCCGAGTTAGTTGTCTTGGACTGGATATGAACGATTCATATTTGTTTTAACATTACATTGATCACTCTATTGGATTGTGCTATATGGTGAACATAGGAGGAGATTGTTGGGTATATTAATAATATAATCCAATAGTATGTTCACATATAAGCCCAATAGGTGAAAGTATGGTTATTCGGGTCCATATGGGCTGGAGCCTAATAGCTTGCATTATATCTAGGATTTCATAAGCTGGAGGTAACACTGTTGAGCATTTCAAACTTGATATCTCTGATGTAATACTTCAAGCATCTCTAAATCCTTCTATCTCGAACTCATAACCTCTAACAGGTAGTAGATTAATAATAAAAATATTTGGTAGTAAAAATATCATATTTTTCTCTTTCTTTAACGTCTGTTAACATTAAAAGACAACTTAAATGACATTAAAAGGCGCAAGGCCTTAGGCACGCATAGAAGACAACATACCTATAATACTTATATTACTTATATCTATGTTTGCCTTTATGGTTTTCGGTAATCAATCAAATAAGCATAGAGGCCCGTCACAGGTGAGTTTGAAATAGTTGTCGGCCTATCTGCCTCTTCAATAGTAATTTAATACACGTGATATTTGGAAGGGGCGTTACATCCGACAGCTTCACATCCAATCAATTTTTTTTTTTCAAGGGACTATTTGACAGAGAATTTATTTTCAGATTTTCGAAAAGTGAGGGGGATAATTCAATTAATGTGATAAAAAAATTCTGAATTTTTTTTTCAAGAATATAATTTTCTTGAGAGTTTATTTTGTATGTAAAGTATAACAAAAATACCAACCAAGAGGAAGGTATTCTCACTTTCTTGAAAAAATAAAAAATAGATGCGAGTATTATGACAAAAATGCAGATAGTAATATTTTGACATACGAAACAATTTTTTAATAATATTTTCGAAAAATTTACTTTTTTACTATATTTCTAGGAATTATGATTCCTGAATAAAAAAAAGTTCTCCTCTGTCGAATAACTCTTAGGAGCCGGCCAAATTATTGATACAACCAGACCCAATATCAATTGTGGGCAGTTTGGGTTGCCCTGACCCATGTTTTATTTATTTAATTATTTACATGGTTAGTATTTAAAAAATTAATTTTAAGAAATTAATTTAATTAACTCAGAGTAAAAAATTAAAATTAATTATTAATTAAATTATATAAAAGTTTGTATTAAAATAATAATTTTAAATAAAAGATGGAACTTAATAATTTATAATAATTAATTATGACATTTCCCGGTTTGCAGATTGGCTCAGCCCACAACGGGCTACATTGGGCTAGGCCTAATAAAATTTGGCCTTCAATATTGTTAATTAAGTCTATATATTTTATCTGGTTATCTGTACTAGTGCATTTTTTTATTTTTTAATACATCTTCCGTAATTTTATCGTCTCTTTCTTCAAAAGCAATATTACTTAGATTGATTTAGGACGAGTCACTGGCGATGGTGTTTGAGGTGTTACACTGATAGCGGTGAAAAAAATATACTCCTCCTTAATTAATTATTGTCACTGATTGGCCTAAGAATTGGTTCTCATGATTAATACGACATATTTTGGGGAATCAATACAGTTCTCTTGGAGTCTTCCATCCCTATCACAATACATATTTGAATAAAATCTACTTATCTTTTATCTCAATTTATTTATTATTTCTTGTCTTTTTGATGAAATTCCGGGAAACACCTTCCAATCTTTATATTATTTTTTTTTATTTAAATTACCTTTTGTTGTTTTTTTTTAATTTATGTATTTTCCTTTTTTTAAGTTTACCTATTATCTTTTCTATTGGACTGTATATTCTCAGACAAAAATTGAGTGCTAAAAATAGGTTGTTAGCAAAGCCAAAGCCATCCTACTGTACTCAAAGTCTGATATTTGAGAGTGGATGAATGCCTATAGTCCTGAACTAAATTGACGAAAAGTCCCTTGACTTTTTTTTAAGCACGATAGTAATTACAAATAGCTGTGAGATTGGCATTATTAACCATCTACTTAATTTATGAAAAATAAATACCCAACCAAATGATTATGTTATCCTCTTTATTTTTTCTATCTCGTTCTTTTTCTTTCTACCTTCTTTTATTTTTTTGTTTACATATGTGCTGTCTGATCTTTCACTTTTTTTATTTTTTTGATATCATGATCTTTCACTTTTTTTTTTTTTTAGTACAATGATCTTTCACTATTAACTTGTGTCAAGAGATGAAAAACCTAAAATCTGTAAATCCACACAAGTCATTATGCAATCCTGTTAGGTTAGTTTAGGTGGCACCGTGATTTGTGCCAGGGACAAGTATGCAATAATGATCTCCAACAGAGCTGGTCAAAGGTGAACAGTTAAATAATACAAAAAAAAAAAAAGGTGAACGGTTAAATGTAATTATTTTATTTTATTTTTCACACATTCAGTAAGTAATTTTGTTTATTAAAACTTTTCATGTTATATAAGATAATTTTATCTTAACCTCCAAAAAAAAGAAGAAGATAATTTTATCTCTTACATATATATAAAAATATATTTGTATTTTTTTATCTGTACATTCTCTTCATGTGAATCCACACACTTTTATGTGTACAAGTAAAAAATATTAATCCAATCGTTTTTATATTAGACAAGAAAAAAATGTTTGTCTTTTTAAATGACACAACTTATATCATTTCACTCTTACAAAGAGGTGAGACCACACCTTTATATTTTTTTGTCTACTCTCTTTTCTTCTTTATCTATCTCTTTCTCTCACTTAAAATGACACAAATTTACCTCGTTTATAAAATAATACACACTTTTAACATTAGATAATCGAGGTAATAATAGTGGGGAAACTGTTCCCCCGTTTAAAGCTCAAATCGTTTAGACTTATTCCGACCTTATTTAATTTTTAAAATAGGAAAATATATTTCTATATTACTTGAGAAAATTTATCTCTATTACACATTTATCAAAACTTGAGTCATTATTTTTTTTAATTGTAAGACTCACCTAATTATATCTCTACATAAAATACTATTATATTATAATCATGAGAAAACCATTGCCATTTAAAATATGGGTTCAATGTGTGTCATTCAAAAGGAAAGAAAAAAAAAAAAAGCAGCTTTTCAGATTTACACAAAGTATGACCGGTCATATTTTGGATAAATCATGTAAAAGAATACAACTTGTGTCCTTTTAGATGATAGTTTTTTCCCTTAAAATATACCATAATGGTTATGAGTTTTAACTTTTAAATGTAAAACCTCATACAAACTATTAGGTACATCATCACTAGCTCATTGCTAAAATCTTATAAAAAATTTGGAGTAAAAAAAAACTTTCTTAAAAATTAAACAAATTCAAACATTCAACTAGTCGCATAACTTTTCCATCTTTAAAGATAATGAAAGGTAATGTTTCACTTTTATGGAAAAGTGTTTTCTTTCGGAAAGCTCAAAACAGAAATAATCTGCTCAGAGAAACAGAGAGAAGATCCGAGGACGGAGGAAGGATATGCCATAAAGTGCATTGATTAAGCCAATGTCACAGTAAGTTAAATGAATCTTGTGTTCTCACTAGAACATTCTAAAAACAGAGGAGAACGACAGAGGAAGAGACCATAAACCCATAGATAAGGATCAAGAACCCAAAATGAAGAGCCCAATTCCTCTTGAACTTACCAAAATAACTCTCAGGGGGTTCCTGGTAGTGAATCTCAAATTCATCGTCTGCAATCCCATCACACTCACTGTTCAACCTCATCTTCATCTCCCTAAGCTTCTTTGTTGCCAACCCAAGTGTGAGCTTGTGACACCTCCTCTGGTACTTGAAGCCATTGATGCACCTCAAGGTCTGGGCCACGGACACGTAGAAGATGAGATGGGCCATGGAGAGGAGTGTAATGGGGATCCAACAATGGCGGCATTGGAGATGGGGTGAATGGGAGAGTGTCAAGAACACTAGGGAGAGGAAGATGAAGAAAATCTGAAAGAGTTTGTGAAGCTCCTTTTTTTGGAGGTCTATGGCATGCTTCTTCTCTAGGGTTTTCTCAAAATGGAGCTGGATGATGGTGTTCAAGGCTTGGAAAGCTGTCTCTTTTGGGACACCAACATGGTTGGTTTCATAGTCAGCCATGGATATACATACACAGAAAGGTGAATTTGGTTTTCTTTTTATCCAAAGAAGACTAACGCTGGGAGTTTGTTGGGTGAGGTTAATGCTACCAAATACAGAAAAAGGGTAAATTAATTTGGTAGTGGCATTGGAATATATAGTAATGCACCAACATTAATTATAGCTCTACTTACTTTTTTTTTTTTTTTTTTTTTTGGTAGATGAGGAGGGCAAAAGCTCAAAACAAACAAAATAAAAGAAAAACAAACCACTAAGACATGGTCTTAGCTACCAACTCTAGATTTTTACTGTGAAAGTAAAACGGCGAAAGTGGTAAAATTATTCCTTATAGATGTTGTACTGAGTGCGTCAGTATAAAGTTACAGAAGTATCTTAAATAGATTTTTACGAAGGAAGAATATTTTTACTATCAAAAATTTTTATTATTAATTTACTATCAATTTAATCATCATTGGATCAATATCAAAGAGAGAATGCTAAAAATTTTATGAAAAGAGAAAAAATACTCATACAATAGTGATTAAATAAGTAATAAATTAGTAGTAAAAAATTTTAGTAATAAAAATATCTCTCCTCTTTTTACTACGTTGCGGAGAATGTGTTTGGTAGTAACAGAAAGGAAATTCCAAATCCTAGTAGAAAGTAACTAGAAGGGCAAATGTGTGCAATCAATGGAGATACTCAAATCTCGATACTTTTAAATTCCAATTAAAATACCCCCAACGGTTACAAAGGTGAAAGCAGAATGTGGGACACATTTTTTGAGGTTGAAAGTTCAAACTGAAACCTTTTGGCACTAAACCCTAAACCAGGTGTGATTGTGACTTGTGGCAGACACCTCCAAGTTAGATGGACGATCATGATTCAATATCCGTGCAGAATCGAGTTTCATTTCCTATACAGAAATGAAATTAACCTTATACCAAAAAAAGAAAAAAAAGAAATGAAATCAACTTTTTTATTTTCAAATTAAATGTATAATTGACATCGATGTAAAATATCCTACTATATCTCATAATTACTATTGATTATGTCACTTATATCAACATGTTTATATTATACTTTTTTTCTTTATTTAATTGGTTTGAGCGTTTTACTCAGTTGATGCGGAGAAAATTTTGGATACATCAGATATAGGTATAATTTTATCTAGTGAAAAAAGTTTTTACGATTTAAAGGGAATAATAAAGAAAAGCAAGACTATAAATGAAAAATAATTTTTTTATTTGAAAAAAAGATGTATATAAAAAAGAATTATTTGATGGGAGAGTTGGTTGTTTAACACACTATATGTCAACATGATACAAGAATTTTGTAATCTCATCAGTTCGTCTGTCTGTTTGTATCGACGAAATAGTGACGAGGTATTTGAATTTGTATTAAGGGTATTCGTATTTGTATTGATAATCCTACTGACCCATTTAAATTATTTAATTATTTAATTATATATTTATGTCCATTTATACTATTTTTATTTATTAATTTGATTTTATTTAAATAATTAGAATTTTAAAAGTAAAATTGATAGATTAATCGTGTTTTGTGATATGATATAATAAACAAGTCATTATATTTGTATTATTAGAAGGGGTGTAAAATGAGTTGACACGACACAAATATATCAACACGAACACGACACGAATTTTTATTCATATCAAAATCTTCAACACTAACACGACACAAATTTTTTGCGGATTGACACGACACGAATAATATGCAAAATAAAAGTCAAAACGATGATTGACAAAAATATTAAAAAAGAGAGTAAATACCCTTTTTGGACCTAAGCAAATTTTACGATGCTTGCAAAAAGACTAAAATGGATCCACTTTATTTGAAATCGTGGTCCCTCACAAATTCAAAAAAGATCCATAATAGTCCTCAAAAGGACTAAAATGGGTCCACTTTGAATTTCTTAGGGACCACGAATAGTCTTTTTATTTGCTAGGGACTAAAGCGGGCATCGTTAAATTTGCTGAGGACCGAAAAAGATATTTATTATAAAAAAAATGTGTCAGAATTTCAAAAAAATTAAAAAATAATAATAAAAAAGTAAAAATAAAATAATTAAAAAAATATGGGTCAACACAGACACGAACACGGCACGAATTTTTTCCGTGTTATTTTTTCCAACATGACACGATTTTTTTTGCGAGTCAACCCGAACACTTATTCGAATTTTCATATCGTGTCGCAGATCGACCCGCATATCATAACCTATATTGAAACAGTGTCGATGATATTTATAGGCATTTAAACTTCTCCTTCTAAGAGGAGAAGTTAAATCATTGCTACACTAACATTGAATTGTGTGTCGAATCTTTTCTTTTATTTTTTTTCAAAATTGATGGAAACCCACAAATAATGTTTCAATTGCATAAGATCTCATTTCTCATGTTAAAGGAAAAGTATTTTACCCATATTCATATTTGGAATGTGTTATATTTTTAAATTTTTTATTTATAAAATACATTATGTATTTCTAAAATTACACTAAGTTATATTATGTACTTTTGAAAATACATAGTGTAATTTACAAAAAACTGTAAAAACAATTTATAAACAAATCTTTCCATGCCTAACAAGTCCCTCATAAAATAGTTAAGTGATTTTTTTTTGGGAAAACATTTTCTTCTTTCAAAGAAGAAAATTTTTCTCATGTTAGTGACTCATAATATAAGTGGAGCCCACAAAATAGTAAAGAGAAAAAAAGATTCAAAGTGGGACCCACTTCTGTTATGAGTCACTAACATGAAAAAAAATTTCTCCTTTAAAAGAAGAAAATGTTTTCTCTTTTTATTTTTAAGGCAAAACCGCAAAATCATATATGGGTTGAACAAATTTCAAAATCATTAGCATATGTAGCTAAAGCTTCTCCGTCCAAATATCCAAAAAAACAAAAAACCTTCTCCGTCCAAATGTAAAGATAATCATTAATAGGTGGAATGAAGAATTAAATTTTAAAACTTTTATTTATTAAATTATGGGAAATAAGTCTTTCATGTAGTATGTTGTATGAAACAATTTTGTGTCATGCACACATACAAAATGAGTGGAACTCTTTTTTTCTTTTTTTCTTAGTGGATTTCACCTCTCTCTTTTTTGTTATATAAGACAAAATTGTATGATACAATATGAAAAAGATATTCTCCTTAAAATATTAGTCCTTGAATGACTAAAACTCAATGAAATAAAATATAAAGACTAATATTTAATTAAAAATTATAAAAACTAAAATTTAAATAAATAAAAAATATAAAGACCAAAATTTTATTTCAACACTGTAAGTTTATGATATAATACAAACTATTCATGGTGACTAGTGTATACGAATACAACAATAGTTAAGTAGTTCTTCGCTTTTCTTAAGAACATGACAGATTTTTACTGGCATAACTTCTATATAAAATTTAAAAATTCTGACATATTCCTAAAACCATGGCCAACAAAATTCTTAAAACAAAGAAATGTTGGGATAAAAAATATGCCTCGCCTGCTAATTAACCTCGAATATAAAAGTGGAAGCATTACGAGTTACTATCTTCAAATCTTTCCTGTACAAAGATATTACCTTTGTCATCCCTTCCTATTCTCATGTTGTCATCAACATATCTATGAGATAATGGAATTAAGAAGCAACAACAATTTTCATCAACATTAGTATAGTGTTAAAAACAAAGACAGACAATCAGTTTAATGATGCTCAGTCCATGTTATAAGTTAGGCTCGTCCACGAAAAAATAAAAAATCAGTTAAGACTTTAAGATTATAACGGTTGCTCAACTTGCGTGAATAGAGATGAAGGTTGATTATCCATAACTTCGTCTTTGTATATTTGTAAAGAGGTTGTTCTTAAATTTAAATTTTAACCTTTTGGTCATAAGGCCACATGGAGCAATCTTATTGTTGCCGCGGACTTGCCCTCACTCAGGACCAAGGTAATTAAAATTGAGATTTTATGTAAAATCGAAAGGGGGATAAAAAATCATAAAACGTAAAATCGTAACATAAAAAAATGGTAAAAAATCTTAAAAACATAAAAGTGTTTGAAATATTTGTAAAATCTTGTTGATGGAAAAAAATCGTAGTGATAAATCGAGATTTTAACTACCATGCCTAAGACTTAAGACTAGGCCAACAAAATAATAGAAAAAGAATCTTTAAAAACAAAAAAATCAGGATACGTGATTTCCAGCCATCCCTCTGGATTGAAGATGCCCAACAAAAGATCATAATTTTTCCTAAACAGATTCATCAACTGTGCATGCAAAGAGGAAAAATAATTTAAACAATGGAAAATTAGAGTGAAAAATCTGATTAGCCTAGAAAAAAGTGTAACATATGAGTAGCATACCTGATCAGGAGTGATTGTGGAGTTTTCGAAATTGATGTCAACCCTCTGTGAATTTCAAGTATTAGCTAATTAGGTAGTCATTGGGCAGCAACAATAATACATTACAGAGAAATAAAGTGACCAAACAAGAAGTGGAGCTTTTAACTGTTGTGGAAGCAATCTTGAAAGACGCCTCAATACTAAGTTGTCCTGACATCAAACTCAAACCCCTTGCACTGAACTTGATCACATTAACTGCTTTGCTCTCCATTTTGAAATCCACATCACAAACTTTTAAACTCAGTGGATAAAAATATAAACTTAAAAAGTATTGGAAACTGAGCATAGTTTGTATCTTCTAAGGTTTAATGTGATCAAATGAAATCTAAAGTCAAAAGAAAAACGGCCTTAGCATACAAAATTTGAGAATTCCATAGTATTTGTTTTGTACCTTTGATATATCAATGGTCTGAAAAAAATCATCCAATGAGATAATCTCTCTGAGGCCTAACTTGGTCCTCTTTGCTCCCAAAATTGAGATTGTACTGTAAACAAGCCTCCAACACCCAGCCACCTTCCAATAATATAAACATAATAGGAAAACTCAAAACGCCAATTACAAATGAGAAAAAGGTTTGTTCTTTTAAAGGATTGTATCCTTTTAATTTTTAATACTATCTACTACGTGTAGTACTAGTACATAGTTATAATATGAAGAAAAAAAAATTCTTCTCATTCACTTCAATTGACATGAAGAAAGAAAAAAAAAAGTAACTTTTTATATTACAACTATACACTACTCATAGTGTGTTCTTTAAAACGAGGGAGATTGACCATTTTGCCACGTTTGGACAAAAAATTTACCAAACTGCCACGCTAACAGTAAATTTTGTCAAAATGCCACGCGGCATAATTCGCTACACAGTGTAGCGAATTATGTATGCAAGTAATTCGCTATACAGTGTAGCGAAATATGCCACGTCAGAACCAAAAATGCCACATGTCAAATTTTGCAATATTCGCTACCCTATGTAGCGAATTTTGCAAAATTTGACATGTGGCATTTTTGGTTCTGTGCGTTCGCTACACTGTGTAGCGAATTATGTCGCGTGGCATTTTGGTAAAATTTACTATTGGCGTGGCAGTCTGGTAAATTTTTTGTCCAAACATGGCACTTTGGTGACTGTTCCTTAAAACGACACACACTTGACCCGTGACAAATGCATAGTAAAGATTGAAGTTACCTTCTCCAATTCTAGAGTTGGGTGTGGAGTTGGATTCTGAGATTCTAGCTGCTTCACCAAACTTTCAATTTCAGATTTCTTGGCAGATGGGAGTCCAAAAATCCCCCATTTGATTCCTTGAAAGGTGTTTATTTGCAAACCGTTTCAATCAGATTACTCTTTCCACATTGTTAAGCAATGCTAAGCTCACAACAATAAAGGGATATGAAAATAATTGAAGTGGGATACCTTCCACCGCCTGATAAAGCTCTCTTTTCTTTTGAACAAGTGTTTCATCCTCAACTAAGCCTGAGCCAGAGCTGTGATCTGCAACTTTAATGATGGTGATGGGTCTAAACCATAATGGTCTCTCACCAAACCTTGAGGTGTTTATCCTTGAAGCCGGGACAAATCTTTGAAGATTCATGATATTCATGGTTCTACAAATCAGAGAACTAACATGGGAATCCGTCATTGATGGCTGGACTAGCTTAGTGACCATTAAATCTTCAAGACTTAATAACGTGGGATTGAAATATAAACTATGAGAGACATAAGAATGAAGCACACGAGAGGATCATGATCTGGCACTGGAGGTTGCTCTATATCGTTTGCTGATTATTAGGCTCAAATATTCGGCCAAAGGGAAACTGTGTACATGTTTGTATGCTTTTAAAATCAAGGTTGTGGATAGGTCTATCAAGACATGTGTGGCTTAGAATTACCATTCCAAGTACTTGAGGTTCATAAGAAGATACCGTATGCGTTGTCTTACTTGCTGACCTCATAAGCCTCATTACCCAACGGAGAAAATATCAATGAGCACAAATTTTGAGCATAGAAACATCGTAACGAAAAAGTTCAGTGCCACGGAATAGTGTTGGCTTGCACGTGAAGTGGTTTTCAACCGTTGATTTAAACGTGGGTAAATATTTTTTTTTTGGTATCAAATTTCACGAGGCCCGTTTTAGTCCCTAACAAATAAAAAGATGTATCGTGGTTTTTAAAAAATTTAAAATGGACCCATTTTAGTCCTTTTGAGGACTAATATGGATCTTTTTTAAATTTGTGAAGGACCACGATTTCAACTAAATAAGTTCATTTTGAATTTCTTAGGGACCTTTTATTTGCTAGGGACTAAAAGGGGCATCGTGAAATTTGCTGAGGACCAAAGAGGGTATTTACTCTTTAAACATTTTGAACTTTCGATACAAAATGTGAAACTAAGGCTGTGTTTGGGAGTCACTGTCTAAAAGAGGGAAGGGAAGGAAATGATTTACTTATACATTTTTCTTGTTTACAAGTTTAAAAAAAAGGTTTTATAAAAATTATGTTGTACGAAAAGTGATTGTGCTATGTTATAGAGATTCGTTTTTCGTGCCGTAGTTTTTTTTTTTTTTTTTGCTTCAAGAAATGCAAGCCCCACAAAATGTTGTGTGTAAGAAACTTTTTGTTATCATGTTGCATGATAAATGCAAATACCTTAAAAAAATAGAGGAAGGAAATCAGAGATTTCCGTAAAATCCTCCAAAATTCTTCTCATCCCTTAAAATTAAAATTCTTCCAATTTGGAGGTATAAGAGGGTAAATATAAAATTTCAACACCCAAAATAAAGAGAAGGGAATACCTTTTTTTTTTCTTCCCTTCCTTTCCATTCCATTCCTTGCCTTTGGATTCCCTCCCTTCCAAACTCTCAAATTGGGAAACTTTAATTTTAAAAATAAGAAGGATTTTGGAAAGTTTTGTAAAAATTCCTATATTCCTCCTCACTTTTTAAACTCACAAATAAAAAAAGAAATTAATAAAATCTTTCTCTTCCTTTCATTTTTCTCCTAAAAGTAACTCGCAAAAAGCAGTCTTGTTCGTATAGTGAGCGCACACAATTGGCTTTGGCCTTTTACGCCGCATACAACACCAGTGTCATGTTCAGAACATTAATTCATTTGAGTTTAAACGTAATGTGGAGGATTAGATAGGATACAAAGAAAGAATTTCTCAAGCTGCCGAGTTCAATTGCAAGGAAATGAGCAGAAGACACAAATATGAAAAATTGCAACGCAGAAGACGTTGAATTTAATCCTCAAATGTCTCCAATACAGGATATCAGGACCTGGCAATAATCCCAAAGAACTTGAAATAAAACTCATCGGTAACGTCCTTCAATTTAAGTAACAACAACTGAAAAACGAAACCAGAAGAAAAATTATAAGGACAAGTAAATTTTGCAAGTCAACAAGTTCCATAGAAAGAATGCACTTGGTAAGAATTAAAATTAAATTGTTGACTTTTATCTTTGCCTTCATTTTTTCCAATTTTCATCTCTATCAAGCACGGCCAGATGCACTCTAGTTAACAACACCCAAAACAGCATAGATAATTTAGAAGTTCATACGTAGAGCGGGTCACCTATCATCTTAAAATCACACACTGAAACTCAGAAAATTTTTAAACTAAATTCTAGTAGTACAATCAAAAACTTGAGTTGGAGTAAAGATACTTGGAACTAGAATCCACAAACATTGTCAGCAACAGAATATGGATTTCTTATTTATAACTATTAAAAATATGCTCTAGACAGCAGAATTTGATTGGTTGGACTCTTGCTGTTGTTTCCACTGCTCTGGGGTTAAAGCTTTCTTTACAGAGAGAGCATGAATCTGTTTCATTTCCTCCTCTAAGGCAGCATTCACCATTCGATGCCTCTCCAGTAGCCTTTTGCCTTCAAATTGTTCTGATACAATCTCGACTACAAAACTTGCACCGCACCTAATAGCCACATGAGAATTATAAGATTGTAAGATACAAAAGGGTGCAGTAAACAGTGCTATAAAGTAGGGACACAAAGTCTGTTAGTGGGGGAAAAAAAAACTTACCCTCCAGATGTATCAGTTACTTCCTGAAACACAAATACAAAAATATTAGGACAAACAGTTTGAGAAAAGGGTAAAAAGAGAAAGGGGCCGGGGGGGCCCCACGGGGGGGGGGGGGTGGTTCAAATGAAGATTACACCCCTGAAGTTTAGCTTGTTTTATTACACATAACTCCCATCATTAATCAACTTAGGTAAACAGTGAAACCGTTAAATGGAGGATTAGATTTAATGGACAAACACCTTAAACCCTTTATAAACAACCCCTGTGAAGTTTAACCAATTTTCACGTTTAATGCATAAAGTTTCACTTTTAACATATTATGCACCGCACATGGGAAGCTCTTTGTTAAATCTAGGGAAAAGTTCATAAACCCCCTTGCGGTTTAACTCTTTTATTCACTTACATCCCTATTCCATTTTTTTGTTATCAATTACCCCCTTGTGATTTTTTTCCATCCAAATCCATCTTTAACACTGTTAGTAATTAAATTAACTTATCCATTTTACCCCTATATTACTTGTTAATTAATCTTATATATAAGTTACATTAAAAAGAGAGAGGACTCTCACGTAAAAACATTATGTTGCCAGTCACTATTCTTGTTGGTTCTGCCTTACCAATCTTCCTATACATCTTGTTGAGATATATAGTCCCACATTGATTGGATGGGCAACTAATATGGCCTTTATAAGGTCTTGGGCACTCCCAGCCCTTGAGCTAGCTTTTGAGGTGGTGTATCTCAAGGTTCTTTACATGGTATCAGAGCCTCACCATCCCCTGCTTTAAAAAGTGGAATTAAAATTAAAAAAAAAAAAGCACAAAAAGGTAAACCAAAAATGGGCCTGTACAATTTCCACGCTTCTAGCCTAAAGGGCTCTTGCGTGAGGAGGCGTGTTGAGATATATAGTCCCACATTGATTGGATGAGCAACTAATATGGCCTTTATAAGGTCTTGGACACTCCCATCCCTTGAGCTAGCTTTTGGGGTGGTGTATCCCAAGGTTCTTTACACATCTCCATCAGATTTGAATATCTAAATGGAAGAAAACCAATCAATAGAACATACAAGATCACCCCACATGACCATATATCAGCTTTGGTCCCATCATAACCCTTTCTGTTAATCACTTCTGGAGCAACATAGGCTGGGGTACCACATGTAGTATGGAGTAATCCATCTTGGTGCTTAGACTCAGCAAGAGCACTTAACCCAAAATCTGAGACCTTCAAATATCCATTTTCATCCAATAGAAGATTTTTTGGTTTTAAATCGCAGTGACATACACCTCTGCTATGGCAGTAGTCAACAGCACTGATCAATTGCTGAAAATATCTCCTAGCATCATCTTGCTTGAGCTTTCCTTTCGATAGGATGGCGAAGAGTTCACCACCTTTTACATACTCCATAACAAAGTAAATTTTGGTTTTATTGGCCATTACCTCATAAAGCTCAACCACATGTGGATGGCTGATTAGTCTCATCACTGAAATTTCACGCTTAATCTGATCAATCATCCCTACTTTCAGAGCCTTCTCTTTATCAATAACTTTAATGGCCACACTCATGCCAGTTATAGGGTTCCTTGCATGGTAAACCTTTGCAAAGGTTCCTTGGCCGAATAATCTCCCTAGTTCATATCTTTGCATAGGCACATTTCCTTTCTGTTCCATAAAACCAATGCTAATATCAACAGTACCAAGTACAGGCAATTATGTGGACAAAAGCAGGAAAATGGTTCTCAAAAAACTCAAAGCTCAACCGTCTTCACAAACATCATGTTTTGAAATCACACAATGGCTTTGATTTCTAGCCACCTCAGTCACATGAGCACAAAGTAGATATGGGCAGTGGACTAAACATCCAATCTTGTCAAGGATGAACAAGGGTAGCCCAAATGGAGGTGCAACCTAATTAACCTCGGTGAAGGAGTTTTTGACCATCAAACACATCTTTCAGCATTCCCTGATTTTTGGGATGACACTAGAGAATGCTGAAGAATATGGACTTAAGGACATTGTTTGGACCTGGCAAGGAGAACAACCACAGCAATTGCAATTGCAACATGGAGTAGTGCAGAAAGAGGAACAGCCTTCTCATTCTGGCATATCACAGGTTGTATCACAACCAACAAAAATAGCAATAGGGAACATAATGTTTTTACGTGAGAATTCTCTCTCTTTTTTATGTAATTTTTATATCAGATTAATTAACAAGTAAAATAGGGGTAAAATGGACAAAGTTAGTTTAATTACTAATAGTGTTAAAGATGGACTTGGATGGAAAAAAACCACAAGGGGATAATTGATAAGAAAAAAAAAAATAGGGGTGTAAGTGATAAAAGAGTAAACCACGTTAGGTTGAACAAACTTTGTGCACCAACTGTGAAAAGTCAAAATAGGCCAAAATTTATGTCTGTAATGTGTGTATAAGTATAACATTCATAGATAACTACTATAAGTACCATAAAGCATATGAGCAGAAGCATCATGGAAATTTTAGACTGAGTAAAACTCCAATACTTTATCTAAACATCCAACCGATTATGGAGAAGCACCATGAAGCATGTATTATCACACAAACAAAATAAATAAGAAAAAATCTTACAATCCTAGTATGAGAAGAACAAAGCAGTATAAAACTGTGAAATGACAAAAGAAATTGCACATTACAATAGATTAATTCTGGTAGCTTAAGAAAGTCAAAGCAGGAGCCCTTTGAGATAAAGCTTTATTTCAACGAAAATCAAATTTCTTGCTTAGAAGCTGAACCTGAAACTTTTAGGTTCTGTACAAAGCTAATCATATTTTCCTAAAAGCTGAAACTTTTAACATTTCCAAACAAGTCTTTCTTAATATATCAAAAGCACTTTTGGTTTTTTTTTTTAAAAAAAGAAAAACCTCAACCGAATACACAACTTATAGAGACATGAATTTGGACAACTGAAAAGTCTGCATAAAGATTAATTAGGACTTAGGAGAGAAAATCAGAAAATAATAAGATGACCTGAGCAGCAGACAAATTGAATCAAACAAAATGAAAACATGTTATAACAAGAAAAATTGGAAAGAAAGGGCTTACGATATGAGAAGGGTTTAGTGTGGTCTTCAAGGATGATTCGACTTGTTCCTTCGTCACTCCCATCTCTCTTTACTTTATTTGCTTTCTGTGTCTTCTTTATCTGCCCTCAATTTCTCATCTCTCTCACCTTTTATATAAACGGAACGGATACGGCAAATATTCGCGTCTTCACTTTGCGTTGTTGACACGCCTATAAATAAAAAAAAACACAACACCGTTTGTAAATTTAAAATTGGGTTCGTTTGGAACGCATGAGTTATCTTCCATATCATCTTCTGTATATCTGTAGCTGTCATTCAGCAAGAGTGACACTTGATAAAAAAAAATATTTTTTTCTTCTTTTCATACAAGATAACAATGACAATCATTCTTCATCTTTTATTGAATAGATGTACTGAGTGAATGGTACAATAGTAATACTATACATATTTCCGTTTATCTACGTGACTTCAAAAATAAAGTTGTTTGGGGTGAAAATTAATTTTTTTTATAATTATAATTTTTGAACGCAAAATAACATTATATTGAGAATGAATATAATTTTTTTTAAGTTTTTATAATTATAATTTATTATAGAAAAATTAAAGGCTTTAAAATTTTCCCTATTCTAAAAAAAAAAAAAAGAGGGGGTTTATGTGTGTCATGTTATAGGATTGATTTTGAGATTTATACAGACACAATTTTTACATAAGATCCACTAATTTAAGAAGAAGAAGAAAAAACAAAAAATGTGACACGCATTCCAATGAGTCAGTAGAATAGAGTTTCATTTTTCATGCAACTTTCCCAAAAAAAAAATCATATTCCTTTCGTAACTTGTTTGTGCATTTATGCGAGTGGGACCACGCGACAAGTGGTCGCGTCGCTAGCCACAGCGAATTATTCTTTTTTGGGTACAATGCTAGAAACTGTAATTATTGAGCAAAAATATCAGAGTGCGAGTGCCTAAGATGCTGCTGAACCACTAGAATGGAATTTACCTTTTTCAGAAAGTAAAGAAGAAAAGGAAATAATGACCGAAGATTAAGGGGTTTAAATGGCTTGGCTTGCGTTGGGTCGGTAGACTTTATCGTAATTAATTTAACGATAAATAGATTAAGTTCGTATAAAATATTATAGATCTGATCCAATTTGTTATCGGAGGTCATATATGCTTATAATTTTTTATAATTAAATGTTAATTGTTAATTTTTATCATAATTATAATTTATTAAATTATATTTTTTTTAATAAATTATAAAAAATTAACTATTAATTATAAAATATTATAAACGAAAACAGATCATAAATATAATTGTTTTATGGAAATTACTTCTCTTATGTAACGTGAGAGAAAGTTTTTCATAATAAGAGACAAATAAAATGAGCTCCACTAATTTTTAGAAAAAAAAAAAAAGAGGCACATTTTTTAAAAGAAGAGTGACATAGAGATCCATCTTATGCAACATAAGAGTATAATTTCTCTTGTTTTATAGATTCAAATTAGGGTTCGTTTTTTCTGTCGTTGCTGCTGATAAATTATCTGCAAGTAAGTCCAATATGACGTCATTTTGAACGAAAATTATGATGTTTTTGAAATTTTAATTTATTTCAGAGTTATAATAATTTTTATATTTATAATTTTTTAAGATTTCACAACAAAAACAATGTGGTTTAAAAATAAGCAGAAACATTTTTTCCTTCAAATTATACCTATGAACTGATTTCTATTTAAAAAATAAAAAGGTTTAGCGTTGTATTAAACCTAACTGAACCTGAACGGAGCAACTGTGGTGGTTTCAGAACGGTGCCGTCGTCGAGTTCTGAGTGGCACAAACAAGAGACAATGGCAACAAAAGCTCTTGGTTTCGCTCTGACTGTCAGTGACCTTTCCAACCGTTTCGCTTCCAAGTCGCCACCAAACGCTCCAAAAGTTTGCGTTTTTACTCTCAGATGCTCCTCTGGTAAACCCTATCTCTTCCAATCCCTTTTCCTTATTTTGTCCCCAGATTTTAAACCCAGTTGCTTATGAACACGGTGGGGCTCCACGTGAATAATTTTTCCGCTTTTTTTGGACTATATTTCTTTGAAGGGTGAGCATTCCCACGTAAATATTAATGGGCACATAAGGATATTTATAAAAGAAAGTTTTTTAAACGTTATATTATTTGTTCTGATCCTGTCATCGATGAATTCCTGAATTCTAATGAATTGGATATTCGGGTTCTATGTTTTGTAAGCATATTTGTTGCAATGGGGTTGAGCTTTATTTCTTTCTTTCTTTCTTTTTCGTTTTTCCAGATAACTGTTTGAAAGCTTATATTTTCATACTCTGAAGCAGACTTGTGAACCCGGCTTCTAATGCATTTATTTAATAGCCTGAACATAACAATTGTTTTGTCCCTTTGATGTAGAAAAGCTTTCTTTCCCTTTGGTTGGTTGTTTATACTTGGAAGTGAAACACATTGTGTACTATTACCCAGAGCTTGAAGAAACTGATGCAATTTTTTCATTTATTGTTTTTTTTTCATGAAAAATAGTCAAGGGAGAAAGGCCTTGGAAAACTTCAGATGCTAGACTTGTACTAGAAGATGGATCAATCTGGAAAGCGAAGTCATTTGGTGCTTCAGGAACCCAAGTTGGTGAAGTTGTTTTTAATACATCATTGACTGGGTGAGATGAACTACAAATCTTACGATCCAGACTTTGTTATGGCATGCATTCAATCTGAATATGTGGATATATGGATGTCTATTTATTTCTTTTTTATATCTGTGCTCTGCAGATATCAAGAAATTTTAACAGATCCTAGTTATGCTGGTCAGTTTGTGCTGATGACAAATCCACATATTGGTAATACAGGCATAAATTTTGGTAAGTGTTTATTATATTTTATGTCTTTTGAATCCTTGTTCTTGGAAGTCATTTAAAAACTACCTTTTGACGCACTGACTGCCAGATGATGAGGAATCAAGACAGTGCTTCCTTGCAGGTCTAGTAATCAGAAGTTTGAGTATCAGGTTTTTTTTCTCATGCTATGGAAATGTTTTTCATTGAATGAGCTTTGCTTAGTCTGCTTACTTTCCCTTTCTCCTTGTGATAAATTTATTCAGCACTTCAAACTGGAGATGTGCGGAAATTCTAGGTGATTACCTAGCAGAAAGGAATATCATGGGGATTTGTAAGTAATTTATATAATTCTGCAAGTGTTGCTTTGAGAAAATTTTCTCTCTGTATAAGTTCAGGTTTTGCTTTTAACTTTGGTGATACTTTGTGCTGCAACAGATGATGTTGATACACGTGCTATCACCCGCAGATTACGACAAGATGGCAGCCTTATTGGTGTGCTGACAAATGACAATTCTAAAACAGATGAGGAACTAATTCAGATGTCTCAGTCTTGGGACATTGTTGGTAAGGATACAAGACTTTGAGGTTATGGAACATTTGTTAAAAGTGGAAGTACATATCTGCTGTGTTGTTTCATATCTGCAGGTGTTGATCTAATAAGTGGAGTATCATGCAAGTCTGTACACGAATGGGTTGATAAAACAAAGCAAAATTGGGATTTTAATTCCAAGGGGCCCGGGGAGACTTTCCATGTGAGTATAAGCAGTATGCTGTTGGTATTGCCTCTCCTTCCTTTTGATTGACTACTGCATACTTTAATTTACACTTAATGCTGGTGAGAGAATTGTAGGTTGTTGCTTATGATTTTGGAATCAAGCATAATATACTTAGGCGCCTGGCATCTTATGGCTGTAAAATCACTGTTGTGCCATCTACGTGGCCGGCATCGGAAACCTTGAAGATGAAGCCAGATGGGATACTTTTCAGCAATGGCCCGGGAGATCCATCTGCTGTTCCTTATGCTGTTGAGACAGTAAAGGATATTTTGGGAAAGGTGCCTGTTTTTGGAATTTGTATGGGCCATCAATTGCTAGGTCAGGCTTTAGGAGGCAGAACCTTTAAGATGAAATTTGGTCATCATGGAGGAAATCATCCAGTTCGTAACCTTCGAACTGGCCAGGTTGAAATTAGTGCTCAGGTTTGTGATTTAATGGACTTTTTCCTGCACTAATTCTATCAAACAAATTGTATTTAGAAAAAAAGTTTGGTTTTTGGGGTTCACTCTTTATTTCTTAAAACAAATTTGTAGTGTTCCTCTTCCATCTTATGTAAAATCCATATTATTCTTTTAGTTATGCTGGAGGAGAGAAAAAGAACATTGGTATGATGTATAATTTTGCTCATGAGGAGGGTTGGTAACCCCCATCTTCTCAAAATGAAAATTAATTTATGACTACAAAAAAATGTGAAGAAGAATTCACTATGATAGTGACTGTTGGTGGCTAAAACTATTTGTGCAAATAGTAAATTGGCATCAGCAACTCAGTCCATGTCCCTGTTGTGTCAACAAGATGGTCTGTTATTACATTAAATCATTGACTGGACTTGTTCGCATGGTTGGATCGTTAGTATTGTCATGAAGTAGAAGGCAGCATAAAAGATTCTATGTATGCAAATAGTAATTTAAGGCTTGGTTGTTTCATACTGTTTTGTAAAATCATAAACTAAGATACATATATTGGCAGAACCACAACTACGCGGTTGACCCTGCCACACTGCCAGAAGGAGTGGAGGTTACTCATATAAATCTTAATGATGGAAGTTGTGCTGGCCTTGCTTTCCCAGCTCAAAGGATAATGTCCCTTCAATACCACCCTGAAGCATCCCCAGGACCTCATGATTCTGATTACGGTATGAGACAACAAACTTGCGCAATTTATTAAAACGTCTGTAATGAGTTTTAAAATAATTGTAGTAAGAGTGGAATGATCCTTGGTCTATCAGAGCACTCTACATTCTTAAGAAATTTTTAGTTCAATACCAAGAGGATGTCTTTATTTCAACTGACTTCATAATTCCTGTTTCATTTGGAATTGATCCATAAATACTAATGTGATTTGTTCACAATGCAGCTTTTAGGGAGTTTATAGAACTAATGAAACACGAGAAAAGCAAAAAACCAGAACCCCAACTGTCAGCAGTGTCTGGTTTGGACGCCTAACGTTTGAAGCTGATACCCTGCTGGATGAAAAGAATATAGTGAAAATTTTAGTTTATGATTAAGTCTTGTTTGGTGATTTTGTCCCTCGAGGGTTGATAACCTTTCTTTTCTTCATCTTTTGTTATAAGGGCAAGCACGCCCAAGATTGTTGTAACCCTCAATTAAGGGGATCCGTGTACTTTTGTTAAGAGATATAAGGAGCACCAATTTTGTATTCTCTCCAATCCAGTGATGATATGGTGTCATATTAAGTAATCAATCACTGTAAAGTTCTGGGTTTGAAGAGAAACCAACGGCAAACTTTTCTTGTAGAACCATTTGTAAAACCAATCTTATATATTATTAGAGATTCTATGGGATCTAGATGATTTCATTGTTTGAGAAGTTTTTATGTATGCGTGAATATAACTTGCAACAGATTGCATCTAACTGGAACAGTGAAGCATCTAATCTAACGACTAACGGATAAGAGGAATAAAAAATAAAATAATTACATAATTTCAATATTATCACTATCTACTTATTCTATAACACTCCGTCATATTGGAGCATAAACAAAATAGAGGATAAAAGATTGTGCAACATCTCAAACAACAACATTCTTTGTATGAGTCCCATGTTTCCACGAATTACAAACAATATTGTGAAAAAATGACCAAGAGTGGAGAATGGGGAGACCAAAGACATCTTACTGGCAGCCGCTGCCAAGTTTAATGGCAAGATATGTGTTTTGACATCAACAGACAATTTTTTCGTTGGAATTATGCCACAGCACCAAGTACGTATAAACAATGAAGGAAATTTGTTTCTAGTTGGAAAGGTATATCAGATTCAATATCGCACATGTGCTTGAATATTTTCAAAAGTTTAATAAGGATTTATTGTTCTAATGTTTTTATACTTTTTTTTTTTTGATAATCCCTAATGTTTTTATACTATTAATGAATTACTTATCACTTTAAAGTTTTCACCATACAATGTTATCATAGTTGTTGTTTTCACCTCAAGGATGTGTACAAAAAAGAATTTAACAACACAACACAGGGAAAATAACATCAACAAGCGATCTATCCGTTCACTCAATGGACATATGCGCCCATCATAAGCACCCTAAGTTTCTGGGGGGCCATTAATCAAATATAAATTGCTGTATGAATTAACGACCAAGAACTGATGATAATATAAAATTTCTCGATACATATAACTATTAACATTAATGGTCCAAGGGAAAAAATCCTTCAAATGTAGACTTTAAAAATACAAAAAGAAAAGAGGGAAAAAAGAGATCAGCACAATCACTCCATTTCTACAAACAACCTACAAAGAAGACACGGATGAACCACGGATTTACCCAACACAAGAAATGCCTCTCTCCATTCCCTGCCACCACATCCAGTGCACCACAAAATATGATGCATCAATCTCAGAATAGACCCTTGTTCATTGATACTTCCTGACCTCTTATCCGCGGCATCATCCTTAACATGACATGACACATACACGAAAAAGCAACTGGAGCAAAAAATAACACACCATTTAAGCATCTTTTGGACTTAGAAGCACTTCCTGTGGACAATGGATGGACCAGATTCCTCATATTCACCCTTGGATATCCACATCTGCAAAACCAAAACATGTTTTAGAGATCAATATATAGGGCACATACTTGAAAGCTGATTAATGATAAAACAATCACCTGCTGGAATGTGCTGAGGGATGCCAGGATTGATCCTCCGATCCAGACACTATATTTTCTCTCTGGTGGAGCCACAACCTTAATCTTCATGCTGCTGGGAGCAAGAGCAGTGATCTCTTTGCTCATCCGGTCTGCAATACCAGGGAACATAGTTGACCCACCACTAAGAACAATGTTGCCATACAGATCCTTTCTGATATCCACATCACATTTCATAATAGAGTTGTAGGTGGTCTCATGAATTCCAGCTGCTTCCATTCCAATCATAGATGGTTGGAAAAGAACTTCTGGGCAACGGAATCTCTCCGCTCCAATTGTGATAACTTGTCCATCAGGAAGCTCATAGCTTTTCTCGACTGAAGAACTGCTCTTTGCAGTCTCAAGTTCTTGCTCATAATCCAGGGCAACATAAGCAAGCTTCTCCTTCATGTCACGAACAATTTCTCGCTCAGCAGAGGTGGTGAACATGTACCCTCTCTCAGTGAGGATCTTCATCAAAGAATCAGTTAGATCACGACCGGCGAGATCCAAACGAAGGATGGCATGGGGGAGTGCATACCCCTCATATATTGGTACAGTGTGACTCACACCGTCACCAGAATCCAAAACAATACCTGTTTCGAAAGAAATTGATTCAGGGGAAGAGTGATGTGATGATAAGAGATAAATTATGACAGATGGTAATATACAAACCAGTTGTGCGACCACTTGCATATAGGGAGAGGACAGCCTGGATGGCAACATACATGGCCGGCACATTGAAGGTCTCAAACATGATTTGGGTCATCTTTTCTCTGTTGGCCTTTGGGTTGAGAGGAGCCTCAGTGAGAAGCACTGGGTGCTCCTCAGGAGCAACACGAAGTTCGTTGTAAAATGTGTGATGCCAGATCTTTTCCATGTCATCCCAGTTGCTGACTATACCATGCTCAATGGGGTACTTCAGAGTCAGAATACCTCTTTTTGATTGAGCTTCATCACCCACATAGGCATCCTTTTGACCCATCCCAACCATAACACCAGTATGTCGAGGCCGTCCAACAATACTGGGAAACACAGCCCTCGGAGCATCATCACCAGCAAATCCTGCCTGTACCAAAATAAAATCAATGGTTCACCTATGAAACTGCGACTCTCAGATGCACATGCACATGAAAAAACATAGCTACTAAGTACTTACCTTGACCATTCCAGTCCCATTGTCACAAACAAGGGGTTGAATATCCTCAGCATCAGCCATATTTTACCAACCTGCAGAAAGCATAGGGTGCCATGAAATCCAAGCATCAGTACCAACAACATTGTATGGACAACGTGTGTAGAATCAAGACGCTTACGGCCTTTGAAGTCAAGGATTTACTTCAAAGACTATTTGTTTTAAATCAGATGTAGCAAAAGTACACAGCACAAAACACACTGAGAGAAAAGAACAAGAAGAAAGCAGGGAAGTCAAATAATTTAGTACTTGCAAGTTGCAAAATACTTAATTTATCAAAAGAAGAAGTGGCGTTGTTCTAAAAGGGAAAATAAAAGTTAAGGGTACATAAATTAATAAACAAAGGAGACTATCCGTCACATTTTTTATGTTGAACTGCCAAAATTTATAAATTAACAGACATCATTCACAATATCATAGAATAATGGTTCCACACTACGGAGACAGTATTAGAGCAGACACAGTATTAGAGCTTACGGAACTTGTAATTAAGCTTTCAATTAGGAATATACTACAACCACATGTTACCCCCGGTTTCAGGAATATTCATTACCAACACTTTAACTACCTTATGATTTTCTATATTTAAAAATAAAATAAAAAATAAATCAGAGATTCTCCCATAAAATCCAGATCAGACCATAAAGCCAGCCAACAAACCACAACAAGTAAACGATTTCCGGCACAAGTATACAACAACTGAACACAAAATAAATCGTCTAGTTTAGTCAAGATCCAAGATCTCAGCTCAAGTAGATCAGAACCAGATACAGTATAGAGTGAGCGGTATGCAACATAAATCACCAAACCATAGATCAACTACATATAATCTTAATCTAACTTCGTTTCAGCAATCAAGCCATATGAATCAAAGTTCCGAGTAAAAGGAAATCCAGACACGCACACGGTTCTGCTATGGTAGGAGGCTATTTCACATAGAAGGAAGCACCGTTAAACAGATCTGAGGTCTTAAGGATACATTCTCCCGAATGGAAAAACTCATTCAAAGAATCAGTTGAAGTAAAGTGAATTGAACCGTTTTATGATTCAGAATTAAAAGCAAGCAAAATTCGGCTTAAAATATGAGAAAAAAGATGGCAATCTAAGACGGTTTAGATAGGGAATTACCTTGAATTAGAGAGAGAAGATGAGAGAAAATCAATTTACCAAAGTCAACCTCCGAGAAGAGAAAAGTATGGCTTAGAAACTAGGGCAACAATGAGAGCTGCCAGAGCACAAGCGAGGGGTATATATATATAGAGAGAGAGAGAGAGAGAAGGAGAGAGAGAGAGAGAGTAGGGTACTTGTGTGTCACTGTGCGTTGGTGAGAGTTTAATGGTAATAGTGTTTTCTTGCCTCGAATTTAAGAAACTCTGACGGGTCAATGACAAGGGAATCAAATTCCCTTCCGTGTTCTTTCTGGTCGAAAAAATAACCAATTAATTCAAGGGTTTCATAAGAGTTATGTTGTAGGAAAATTGATTGTGTTATGTTATAGAGATTTGTTTTGCGTGCCAGAGTTTTTTTTTTTTTTTTGCTGCGGGCCACACAAAATGTTGTATGTGTAGAAAAATTTTTGTGGTCATGTTAAATGATAGATGATAAACCCTTAATTCAAATTGCAAGCAATTTTTCCCCTTTAATTAAATGTTTCTGTTCGAGTCCTCTGGAAAATAAAAACATCATCCTCGACGATGACAACTATATTATGGATTCGATAGTCTAATCGAATTTAATCAAATTTTTCGGATCAAATTTTGGTCTATTAAATAATTTTTTTTAATTTTTTATCAAATTTATTTCCCCACCAAATTTTTAGTAATTATATTTGTCTTATAAAAGAATATTATCGTGAACCAAACGCCCCTTTAATCACAATTTAACACCTTATATTTCGAGCTTGTTTCAATACTTTTTTCCTTTTTAAAAGTTACTTCTTTTAAGAAGAAAAAAAAAACTTCTAAAAAAAATCTATTTAAAAGCCTGGTTTAAAAAAAAGTCAAAAATTATTTTTACAAAAATCAACTTTTAAAAAAAAAATTAAATAGCATTAACTTTTATAAAAAATACTTTTTAAGTAGGGATAGGATATTATAACAACTAATTAGAATTATTATCAATGTTACTACCAATCAATTTCATCGTTATGTTAATCCAACGATTATATTTATTTTTATCTTTATATGGTTATAATTCCTCATATTTAATGTAAAAATATTAAATATGAAAAATCATAATCATAGAAAGGTGGAAATAAATTTAAAGTATTAAATATGAGGAATCATAACTACACAAAAATGGAAATAAATATAACCATTTAATCAACATAATCGATCTAACAGTGAAATTGATTGGTAGTAATGATATTTGGTAGGGGTTTTGTGGTAGATACCTAGCGAACTTCTACTGGTATTTCAGCTTAACCATGTTTGGTACAAGATTTCAAAAAATTTAACTAGGCAAATCCTTTGCCCAGCCATTTTGATTTCTTTGCAAAATAATTTCATGAAAAGTACGGTTCCAAAAAACTAAATGGGAAGTGGTATTTTGAGGTTTACTGGGCAAAGGAAAAAAGGAGGCGAATTGAAGACAAAAATGACCCTCTCATGTACTGTCGAGTCTCTTTCTTCAGTCTACTCATTTTGCTTATTCACTGTAAATCCACCTAGGATGTGCATGACAATCTTATCGGAATCAATTCTTTTTTAATTTCTGTCCTGGGAACAGAAATGGATAGGAAACTCGTTTAGTAAAATCGATTTAATTTTTTGTTCCCGGGATGAACCAGTTTAATTTTTGTGCTAGGGAAAATAAAAAAGAATTAGAAAATTTCTTTTTTTTATTTCAGGGTCCAAAATGAGAAACATTATCTCTCTCAATCACTGTCCACATCTACCATCACCACCACCACCACCATCATCTCCACACGATGGTCGCCACAATCGTCGTCGCGCCATCGTACCACTAGTGTCGTCGTCACCACCCCTCACCACAACGATGCCACCGCCACCATTACCCCTAGGGCTGTGCATGGGTCAGGTCGGGTCAGGTTTTTGTCCGACTCGACCCAACTTGATTTTTATAGGTCAGGTATTTTGACCCGACCTGCTTTCATTTGATCCAAGACAGGTCTGACTTGGATTGGATTTTGTTGAACTAGTTCAGAACCAGTTTGGATCTGACCTGACTTGGTTTCTGAAGTGGGTCTGACTTGATTTCTGAACTGCGTCAAATCTGACCTGACCCGTTTTTTGACATGGTTTTCTAACAAAATTTTGTCGAAATTTTTACGTTGCAAAAGACAAAAATTTCGTCACAAAATTATTTTTTCGTACAAATTTCTACAAAAAAAAATTTCTTTTGAAATTTAGTTTCCGTCAATAGTTTTGACGAAAATGATTTCTTCTATCAAAAGTTTTAAACGAAAAAAGAATTTTGTCAAAAAATTTGACGGAAAGTTTTTCGTTCAAAATTTCGATGGGAATGTGTTCGGACGAAAATTTTGACGGAAATTATTTCGAGGGAAGTGTTTCATTTGAAACTTTCGACGAAATTTAGATTCTCTAAAGAATTTTGACAGAATACTTTTTTTGTCAAAAAAATTTACGGAATTTTTTTGTAGAAATATGTTTCGTTGAAAATTTTGATGGGAATTTTTTATCAAAAAACTTGACGAAAATATTTAGTTTAAAATTTTCGATGGAAATGTGTTTCGCTAAAAATTTCGACGAAAATCTTTTTTTGTCAAAAAATTTAACGAAAATTTTTTCGTCGAAAACTTTCGCCGAAATTTGAAATCTGTAAAAAAATTTGATGAATTTTTTTGCTGTCAAAATTTTTTGATGACGAAAATTTTTCCGTCGAAAACTTTCGCCAAAATTTGAAATCTGTAAGGAATTTTGATGAAATTTTTTGCCATCAAAATTTTTTTATGAAGAAAATATTTTTGTCGAAAACTTTCGCCGAAATTTGAAATCTGTAAAGAATTTTAATGAAAATTTTTGCCGTTGAAATTTTTTGATGGAACTGTGTTTCGGCGAAATTTTAATGGAAATTGTGTTGAGAAAAATGTTTCATTTGAAACTTTCGACGAAATTTAGATTCTCTAAAGAATTTAGACAAAATATTTTTTCTGTCAAAATTTCTTATCGAAATATTTTTGTCAAAAAATTTGACGAATTTTTTTTACCGAAATGTGTTCCGTTGAAAGTTTTGATGGATATATACTTTATCAAAAAACTTGACGAAAATATTTAGTCGAAAATTTTTGATAGAAATGTGTCGCGCTAAAAATTTCGACAAAATTTTTTTTTGTCAAAAAGTTTAACGAAAATGTTTCCGTGGAAAACTTTCGCCGAAATTTGAAATCTGTAAAGAAGTTTGATGAAATTTTTTTCAGTCAAAGAATTTCGATGAAAATGTGTTTCGTCGACAGTTTTTATGAATATATTTTTTTGTGAAATATTTTGACGAAATTTAGATTTCAGAAAAAGTTTTGACAAAAAAAATATTCCGTCAAATTTTTTTTCCGATGTGTTTTTAGTCACAAATTTTGATGAAAATATTTTTCGTCAAAAATTTTTGCGAAAATTTTTATGAAAATATTTTCCATAAAAAATTTTGACGTAATTATTTTACGTTAAAACTTTTCTTTTAATGTAATTGTGATTTTTTTTTCACATAATGAGTATGGGTCAAGTTTTGGGTCAGTAAGTCAATTTTAAAACGAGTCAGGTCTAAAACTGACCCAAATAAAAGTGGGTCAGTATTTACACCAGTTCAAAAAATATGGGTATTTATGGGCCAGGTCAAGGTCGGATCAATGACAGGGCAAGTGAACCAGTTTTTTTGCACACCCCTAATTACTATTAGAGTAGCATTAATTTGTTAGGATCCTGATTGTAACTATCACGGTTTGTTACCTTGTATATTAAAATAGATTAGCTTGATTTATGCTTTCTGTTCCTTAGTTTTAGCTGATTTCCTGATGTAAATAGATTAGCTTGATTTATGCTTTCTGTTCCTTAAGTTTAGCTGATTTCCTGATGTAAATAGATTAGCTTGATTTATGCTTTCTGTTCCTTAAGTTTAGCTGATTTCCTGATGTAACCAATTGTAAATCTTGGTCTATATAATAGACCCAATTTAATATATCATCAAGCTGCGAATGACAGCAACTTCTGTTATGGTATCAAGAGCTTGACGATCAACAAGCCTTCATTTTTTTTTTTTCTTTTCATCATGACTTCCGCACCTAAAACCTTCAAGGTTTCTGATTCTAAGTCACCCTTTTACCTGCACCCATCCGACAATCATGGTACTGTCTCCAAAGAACTAGGAGATTCTTCCAAACCTAAAGTCACATGCACTTACTGTGGCAAACCTTATCATGACATAACAAGATGTTATCAGCTGATTGGTTACCCAGATCGCCCCACTCCTGGACGCAGCCCTCCTCCTGGACGAAGCCGTGGTCGTGGTCGTTCATCCACTGCACGATCTCACCCACAATCTGCTCGGGCTACTCATACTTCTCTGCCTTCGGTTCCTTCTGAGCCGTCATCAGCATCCATCTCCATGGCAGATTTTACACCAGAAGTTCTACAACATCTCATGTCCTTGGCTGTCTCTTCTGCCCCTCCAGTTGATAAACTTACGGGTAAGATTTTACACCCATCTTGGATCATCGACAGTGGTGCATCCCAACACATGACGGGCACACTCTCCTATCTATCCAATGTGCATTCTATTTCTCCTTGTTCTGTGGGACTGCCGAATGGAGTTCATGATATTGCTACGCAATGTGGCAGCATTACTTTGGGCTCTTCTCTTCATCTCTCCAATGTTCTTTATGTCCCTTCGTTGGCTTGTAATTTGATTTCTGTATCTCAGCTTCTGCGCCAGTCTTGCTTGGCATTGTTTGTTAATTCTGTTTGTTTGATACAGGACCTAAAGCAGAAGAGGACGATTGGAACGGGTGTTGAACGAGAAGGGGTGTATATATTGTGTGCATCATCAGCTTCTGCTCATGTTGCCAGTACGTCAGATTCTGCAGCACTATGGCATCGTCGTCTAGGACATCCATCTTCCCGTTATTTATCTTTGTTACCTTTTATTTCCAATGCAAATAATTTGGCTCCTTGTGACGTTTGTTGTAAAGCCAAACAACCACGAAGTCCTTTTCCTATTAATAATAAACGTTGTTTACATCCTTTTGATTTACTTCACTGTGATATATGGGGGCCATATCATATGGCATCTACAACTGGTGCCCGCTATTTTTTAACTGTAGTCGATGATTTTAGTAGACATGTTTGGATTTTTTTGATGCGCAAT